CATCACACCACCTCAAACTCGCATCTCATCTCATGCAACCACCAACCACACCCAATCTCATTCCTCAATCTCGCATGTCCACCCTCCGCCTCGCCTCTATCCCTTCTAAACCGCACCTCAAACCGTGTCACACCTACTCTCGCCTCCACTCCACTCCATTCTACTCCACTACAACCCTGCTCTTATACCCCACTCCACCACACCCGCCACGGGGACGCGCACCTTTCCAGTGAACGTCGATGTCGGCCAAGCATCGATGGGAGGCGGCCTCATAAACCCTCCGCGATCGTTCGATAGCACCTGAACACGCACACGCCATCCCGCTCAAAACGTCATCCACTCACCACCACGCACATGTCCGCATACAACCCCACCATCCCACTACGTCTCACTGCATCGGGACCGCACCAACCACACCTGTGTCGTCCTCGTTTTCACCATCGACTTGTTCAGCCGATCCCTGCACAGCTTACGATACTCATCATTGTTCCCGATGTTCGACGGCTTCATGTCGAATTTGTGCTCCACCTTGCCCTCCACCTTCAGTTTCCCTGCGACATATTGCAATGTGGATCACCAATGACCTGCATCAACCATTTAACCTTGACCACTTCAATGGACCTGCCCCCACAACTCCATCCTCGCTTGCCCGCACACACAACCACCGCCCCTCCCACCCATACATCCACATGCCTGCGTCTGTTTCCACACATCCGCCTTTCCAATCCTCACACCACCACATGCTGCTTCCTCATCCTCTGTTCATGCCAAATCGTCAACATTCCATGCCCCACCTTGCAAAACTATTGTGTCCTTACCTTGAGTCGTCTCAGAAAATATATGCATGGGCACTAGATCCTTCGTCACGTTCAGATTGTAGGACTTGTGCGGAGCCACCAGGTCTTTCTCCGGCAGGGTCATCATGAACTGCGCACACCAGCGTACCAACCCCTAATCACCACCCTGCCTCCCCCACCTCACCCACCGCACGTCGCGGCGACACAAATCCCCCGTCGCATCACTCCTCCAACCACCAAACACACAAAACACCGACAATTCATGCCGTCCCACCCGGACCAACCCCTACCGACCCTCGCAAAACCATCAACCACCGGCTCACTAAAACCTCATTGCCCATGCAACCCATTGCTCCAAAAACCCTCGCTGTCCCACTGCTCAAGCCCCCACAACCTCGCACTCCCAAACCACGCCAAATTCCTGCCCACACGTACCTCCACGCTGTCCGAGTTAGGGTTCAGAGGATCCATGGACATGGTCACCTTCGCCAGGACGGGTGCGCCATCCTGCTGCTTCAACCACTGGTGCCCGACCAGGGGAGGCACTTTCAGCAGCCATACAGACTTGTCGGCGCCGGTCGTGTCCAGCAGGTGCAAACCTCCAGGCCCTCCAAACACGCCCCCCTCACCGTCGTCCTTTCCAGTCCCCGCCATCGCTCCAACCCCAAACAGCTCGATCGACGCAGAATCACCAGGCCCGCCCCCGAAACCCAACCCCAGGGACCACGCCCAACCAACTCCCACCGCCACCACCTCTACACCACCAGACACAAATCAAGGCTGATATGTGGCAGGAGGGACTCGGGGAGAAACCGGGGGATTGGTTGATCGAGGACTTCGCAGCTCCCGATGAGCTGACGACCTTTCCCTTCAGTCTAGAAGCATCTCTCTCGACTGGTGCCCCCTACCTCTCTCCCTCCAATGAGAACTTTCTGCCTCTCTTCGAAGCATCTCACTGTCCCTCGACGTGCACAGCTCGGAACCAGGGAAGGGATCCAGGGGGTCGGATCCCTCACTAGGCGAAAGTTACCTATATAAAACTAGCAGATATACGAAAGATTGTAGTGGATCCTATATGAGTGCCTACAGTGGACTTCCGCGCGTTTTTAAAGGCTTGAAGGGGAATATATCGCAGAACCAAAGCAGGGATGATGTTGCAGGCCCAAGTGGCACTACCGCATCATCGTCAGCGAATGTGGCGAGGGCCCGGTAGCGTGATCGGCGAAATCCTGCCCACAACTTGGAATGTCCAGGTCTCCCCTCCTTCTGGGTCCCTGCTTCCGCATTCGTCGCTGTGATGCGAAGTCGTTAGTACATTTTAGGTGCGATAGCTGCGCCTCTCTGATGTGCTCGAGAGGTCTGCAGTCACTGGCAGAAAGTTTCGGTGACAGGTGCTTGGTCGCACCTGACATCAACGTCGGAATCGCGAAGTTGTGGAGCAGGTGGTGACTGGCACGGTTCCTATAACCGAACCGCGTTGACGCAGTGTTTCTTCTCGGAGAATTTGGAGGCTGTGGGTGTGTTGAGATCGGCACTCGGGTGCTTGCCTGCGTGCCTGTTCCTCAACACGAGAGCAGAGGATACGTATTGTTCACGCCTGGTTGCAATTGGGTCAGAATATAGGAGCACAAGGAAGAACGAGATATATGCGTTTTCAGATGTTATCAGTCGCGCGGCAGCTCCATTGAACGACCGACGCAAACTGGCGCCCATCTTACAAGCATCCCCAATCGGCAGCAACAAGTTTTATCTTAGTTGCCATGGCCTCGGTTTTCAAACTACCCACCGATTTTGTCGCTCGGGGATCTGGCATGTCGAACCTCGCTTCCAAAAACGCTCACCTAGCTGATCGGCATCGGAGAGTGAGCTATGGGGAGTGCGTAAGACAGAGAGCTAGATTCCCAGGTGCGACGAGCGCCAAAAGGTGGGCAGGACTGGTGGCGCCGCGAGTTCCCTCGGTTGCATCATCGCCCATCGCAGCAGAGGATTGCACGTGAGCATAATCCCTTTCGCCTTCCCAACTGTTTGCCCATGCCCGCACACTCGAGAGTCTAATCGGATTGTGCTGCCGCTGTCGGTGGTGTCGTCGTACTTCTGATACTCTGTTGACTTTTCGGTTTCCGTGATTGTGATTTTTTTTACGGCAATGCGCTCCTTTCATAACCCCTTTCAAAACCCCATTCGTGGATGACCTCCGTGGATGTGGATCGTGCAGAGAATGCAGCGTGGAGTTGCGCACGACCAAAGGATGCGGGCTCGGAGTGTCCCGATACCCGGACTTTGTCTACGACGCAGAGGGGGGTGGCGGTAGTGGCAAGGCCGTGAAGTTGTCGGACGGCCGTTGGCGCGTGCATTTCGATGCAGCGGAGCTCCACATCCCGGATGTTAGCTTCCGCACGGCCACTCTCCTGGGTGTTCCCATCCCCCCACCTATCAGGATCGAAATCGTCACAGACTCTTTAGAAGGCACCGTGGATCGCGACATCGGCAAGGTGAGCATCTGTTTGCTTCCAGGTCTCACTTTTTGTGACTTCGGTTGGACCTCGACGCCACGGTTCGGCCCCTTTGGCGGGTGGGGAATGTGGCCAGAGCGGCCAACTGATCAGAGCAGGCACTTTTCTCTCCCACCCGTGAATGTTTTCGTTTGATTCAATCTTTTCGCGAGGATCGAGGTTGGCATAGCAAGGAGAGGTGGCCGACTCACTGGTATTGACGAACTACGTGCTGCGCATCTCGAACTTGTTCAAGTCTTGCCTCCACCTGCCTGTCTCAGTTCATGTAACTGGATGCTTCGGAACGGGTATTGGAAGATCGACCATTTGGTCTGTAGGATCCGTGCATGAGGGACAGGGTGAGATCTAATTCCAATCCCACCGTCGTGACATGGCTGAACAGATAGAGCTGAGATTCCAGTCGAGGTTCTACTTCTCGGCTACGCGATTTTACGAGCCACCGCCTCTGGTGGTGGATACGGTGTTGACGACAGAGACCACGTACGGTGAGTTCCGAGGGGGGGCGGGAAGCCGGCTGGATGCGGACGGAAATTGCCGGTTGGTTGGGGTGGGTCGTCTTGCGCCAATAGGCGACTTCTTCATGGACCGAGTCTTGATGCTGCCTTCGGATTGCTACGCCAGCATGACAGCCAGGTTCACCTTCACCTCGTAGTGGGTGCGCAATTGATGCAGCGTGTGTTGAAGTAGCCAGCGCATTGGCAAGGGCATGCAGAAGACCTCAAACAAAGTGAGAGAGAGCCAGCGTTGGCACAGCTGTGAGAATGCTTGCGTTGGTGCCCATGTCTGTGATTTTGGATGGGCGAAGAGGGGCACGATGGAGCGTTCCTTGAAGATTAGCAAGTGTCTGAATTTGGTGTGCGAGTTTGTGGAGCGAGGAGGGTTTCAGCACACGACGATGAGATGTGTGCAGGGGGAGCGGGGCATGAAGCCCATGAAAGATGGCGGACAGAATATGCAAAGGCATATTCAGTCGTAGAATCCCTCACAATAATCTCTTCGCAGACATCTGATAATACAGGAACGATGTGGGGTAATTCAACATGGCCTCTGCGCAAGAATGATACGCACTCAACGAATAAAGATCTAAATTTTTTATTTCTCTTCCTTGGAACTGGAACCTGCTCACCTTTTCTCTTCGAGTCTCCCATTCAAAACATCCAACTGAGCCATATTGCCATGTTTAACGACGACTATCCATTTATCCACTTCCACACGCATGAAGTGAACAGCGATTCGTTGCATAACTTCCTTAAACATTACGTTCTCAAGAGAAAGTAGTTCTGCTTGCTACAACTAATTAATTTTTGACTTGGAGATTGGTCTTGGCACTAGAAATTTATTACCATTGCGAAATGTCAAAGTATCTATTATAACTAGTTTTACACATGACATGTAAGAGACACAAGCATAGAAAATAATTAGGAATAAGGGAATTTAAATCCACACAAAAACATGTAAAGAAAATAATAAAAACGAATCTCTAAATCCCCCATGATAGCGTATGTCCTTGGTGTTTATACTGAAACTACACATATCTTTCTTAAATTCTCTGCTATTTTACTAATTATCTTCTAATTTCAACAATGACTGGAACTAAAGGTATAATTTCAATTCCAATAAAAAGTAAATAAAACTACATGTTAAATCGCAGTATCTGATATTTTCTTCAACAACATGATCTTTATTTATTATGCTACCAAATAAATTAGCACCGCTTTGAAATTGGTGCAGATAATCACAGACCTCTCAAGAAGAATTTTAAAAAACAATTCAATTTCTACAAAACCTTACGTTTCATAATATTTCATCTAAAATAAAAACATAACACTTTCAAAAAGTGAATTTTGGAAGATTCTTAAATGTAGTATATTCAGTGAGGCTGTTTTTGTTTCCGTCTTTTCTATACATTTAAACTCTATTATTAATAATGGTGTGAAATTGATTTTATTTTGATAATCAAATAAAGAAAGATAAATTACTAAACTTATATTACAAGAATGGTTTAAGTATGTTTCTATGTTTAATTTATTTACTGTTCTGTCTGAATTCGACAACTGTAATTGCACCGGTAGTTTTGCCAATTTTACTTCAAATCTGCAGTCCGAATCTTATGTCGGATATATGCAATATTGATCAAGGACTAAACACAAAAACAGAGGAAAATTATGGGAAATCAAATATTTAGAACTTAAAGACCACTCAAACACAACAGACTCAATCGCCCGCCCCGCATTCGGCCATGCGGAAGATACCCGTCGGTTCTCCCGGCGCACTTGGACTGTGCGATATGCATCATACTGTGTGTGTGTATGTGTTTCGAGTTTGGAATCGGCCAAATTTACGCATGAGTGCGCTTGATTTGTGTCTGGTGGTGTAGAGGTGGTGGCGGTGGGAGTTGGTTGGGCGTGGTCCCTGGGGTTGGGTTTCGGGGGCGGGCCTGGTGATTCTGCGTCGATCGAGCTGTTTGGGGTTGGAGCGATGGCGGGGACTGGAAAGGACGACGGTGAGGGGGGCGTGTTTGGAGGGCCTGGAGGTTTGCACCTGCTGGACACGACCGGCGCCGACAAGTCTGTATGGCTGCTGAAAGTGCCTCCCCTGGTCGGGCACCAGTGGTTGAAGCAGCAGGATGGCGCACCCGTCCTGGCGAAGGTGACCATGTCCATGGATCCTCTGAACCCTAACTCGGACAGCGTGGAGGTACGTGTGGGCAGGAATTTGGCGTGGTTTGGGAGTGCGAGGTTGTGGGGGCTTGAGCAGTGGGACAGCGAGGGTTTTTGGAGCAATGGGTTGCATGGGCAATGAGGTTTTAGTGAGCCGGTGGTTGATGGTTTTGCGAGGGTCGGTAGGGGTTGGTCCGGGTGGGACGGCATGAATTGTCGGTGTTTTGTGTGTTTGGTGGTTGGAGGAGTGATGCGACGGGGGATTTGTGTCGCCGCGACGTGCGGTGGGTGAGGTGGGGGAGGCAGGGTGGTGATTAGGGGTTGGTACGCTGGTGTGCGCAGTTCATGATGACCCTGCCGGAGAAAGACCTGGTGGCTCCGCACAAGTCCTACAATCTGAACGTGACGAAGGATCTAGTGCCCATGCATATATTTTCTGAGACGACTCAAGGTAAGGACACAATAGTTTTGCAAGGTGGGGCATGGAATGTTGACGATTTGGCATGAACAGAGGATGAGGAAGCAGCATGTGGTGGTGTGAGGATTGGAAAGGCGGATGTGTGGAAACAGACGCAGGCATGTGGATGTATGGGTGGGAGGGGCGGTGGTTGTGTGTGCGGGCAAGCGAGGATGGAGTTGTGGGGGCAGGTCCATTGAAGTGGTCAAGGTTAAATGGTTGATGCAGGTCATTGGTGATCCACATTGCAATATGTCGCAGGGAAACTGAAGGTGGAGGGCAAGGTGGAGCACAAATTCGACATGAAGCCGTCGAACATCGGGAACAATGATGAGTATCGTAAGCTGTGCAGGGATCGGCTGAACAAGTCGATGGTGAAAACGAGGACGACACAGGTGTGGTTGGTGCGGTCCCGATGCAGTGAGACGTAGTGGGATGGTGGGGTTGTATGCGGACATGTGCGTGGTGGTGAGTGGATGACGTTTTGAGCGGGATGGCGTGTGCGTGTTCAGGTGCTATCGAACGATCGCGGAGGGTTTATGAGGCCGCCTCCCATCGATGCTTGGCCGACATCGACGTTCACTGGAAAGGTGCGCGTCCCCGTGGCGGGTGTGGTGGAGTGGGGTATAAGAGCAGGGTTGTAGTGGAGTAGAATGGAGTGGAGTGGAGGCGAGAGTAGGTGTGACACGGTTTGAGGTGCGGTTTAGAAGGGATAGAGGCGAGGCGGAGGGTGGACATGCGAGATTGAGGAATGAGATTGGGTGTGGTTGGTGGTTGCATGAGATGAGATGCGAGTTTGAGGTGGTGTGATGACAAGGGTGTGGGCTGGTTTGTAGTGCTGTTGGGGTAGGTGATGAAAGTGGTAGTTTGCAGGGGATATGAGTTGGCGTGGGTTTTTTGGAACGAGTTGACGTATGATGTGGAAGTGGAGCGTTGCGGAGACATGGTGAGGGAGTAGGATGGGGAGATGTTTGACATGAAGGCCATGTGGTTGCAGGACAGCAAGAAGAAGGCACCGATAAGCAGCGCCGTGAAGGCTCCGGAAGGGAAAAGAATCCGGAGGGATAGAGTGGAGCTGGAAGCGATCGTGTTCAAGCTTTTCGAGCAGCGACCTAACTGGGCGCTGAAGCATCTGGTGGAGGAAACGGACCAGCCTGTGGTAAGTGGGGGGTTTAGAAGCGTTGATGTTGTGCGTGGGCAGTGAAGCGAGATCCGGCGTGGGCGATGACATGGTTGACGGATCGCTGGAAGACGGGTGGGCGATCCGTTGCGCAGCGATGTGCAGAGGTGCAGACGTGCAGCGGTGGGGAAAGGAGGTGGATGATTTGTTGGTATGGGTGGGAAGTGGGTGACACAGAGAAGCATGCAAGATGAGTTGGTGGTGGTTGTGGTGTGTGCAGGCGTTTCTGAAAGAAATACTGAATGACCTGTGCATCTACAACAAAAGAGGCGCGAATCAAGGGACGTATGAGCTGAAGCCAGAGTACAAGC